CTCTAGATCTAAACCCAACGGCCCTCTTTAGGGCCACATATGATGCAAAACGAATACTAACATTATTACAGTTTCATGTTGTTGAATAATAAAGTTTTCTTCTCTGCTAGAAAAAGTGTGTGACAAATTTGCAAAATTCCGCAGGTTTTCATGAGGAACACCTTAAGTTTTTGGTGAAATCTTTCTGTGTCCGTGTACTGTTCACAAACAGGCACCTTCTCGAGCAGGCCCTTACTCAGCCCATAGTAATGCTATCCGATAACACAGTTTTCAAAGTATTATTGTGTGATAGGGACACACCAGAACACTTTGCACTCAATAACTACTGGAAATAACTTCCTACATTACCGACTCCCATCGCCATGTGATAGCCGATTCTATCGATTGTGTCCTATGGTGATGAGTAGTTATTGAGTGACAATTCTTTTGAGGTCTTCCTGTCTGCTCATCGACCCACTATTATCTCACCATTAGGCTCCCTCTTGCACTGCCACCTGGGAACGATAACGCTCTCGCAAGGTCATGTTCGAATTTTCGCGCGCTAAAGAAATGACGCCATGGAGTGGCATCGACCTGCAAATATATGCAACTGATTGATTGATTTCAGTAGCTTCACCACAGAAAACTACTCAAACACCGTACCCCGTTAGCATTGAAGAAAGCTTTAGGGCCGCTACAACTTTTCCTTAGTTGATGTTTAACAAATATCGCTCACTTACAGATAGCGCAACCATTGCAACCATTGTAACACACAATATTCACATCAACTAATCAAATAATTTTTATTCAATCTCCAATGCAATATGTATTCGTTAACGTTTCAATTGTGGCCCTAAAGAGGGCCGTTGGGTTAGATGTATGAATGTTTCGATCAGCACATCAGCTTCTTATCCACCGAATCCGTACAGGGTACGTCCTTGGCGTTTCAGGGCGTAGACGACGTCCATAGCAGTGACGGTCTTTCTCTTCGCATGCTCACAGTAGGTGACCGCATCACGGATCACGTTCTCAAGGAACACCTTCAGAACTCCACGAGTCTCCTCGTAGATCAGACCAGAGATACGCTTCACTCCACCACGACGAGCGAGACGACGGATTGCCGGCTTGGTGATGCCTTGGATGTTGTCACGAAGAACTTTGCGATGGCGTTTGGCTCCTCCTTTGCCGAGTCCCTTGCCTCCTTTTCCACGTCCGGACATTGTTGCGATCGAGCAGTTGTACTCACGAATGAGATGCCGTTCGCTGCGCGCCCGTCGCTTATATACCCATTCGCCAGGTCACCACGTGAGGCCCCCACAATCAACTACACCAGCGTCACCCCTCTCCCTCGTCAGCATTCTACTCATTCCACCACCAGGAGAAAAAAAAAATTCTTCATCATTTCATGCGCTATACACTTTTCTTCTTTCGGACCACATCCAATGTATATGAAGACACACACACACACAAACAAATCCGAGATATTTATTCCATGTGATATCAGTTCTCCTACTGAGAAATCATGTATTCGTTTAGTTATGCGATTGTGGCCCTGAAGAGGGCCGTTGGGTTAGATTGAGTTTAACTCGGATGTTGCTTATGCTCGTTCACCACGGATACGGCGGGCCAGCTGGATGTCCTTGGGCATGATGGTGACACGTTTGGCATGAATAGCGCACAAGTTGGTGTCTTCGAACAGACCAACGAGGTACGCTTCAGAGGCCTCTTGAAGAGCCATCACAGCCGACGACTGGAAACGCAGATCAGTCTTGAAATCTTGAGCGATTTCACCGAACAAGCACGTTGGAACGGCAATTTGCGGATGAGCAGCTCGGTCGACTTCTGGTAACGACGGATCTCACGAAGGGCGACGGTTCCTGGGCGATAACGATGGGGGCTTCTTCACTCCTCCTGTGGCCGGTGCGGATTTGCGAGCGGCCTTGGTTGCCAACTGCTTTCGTGGGGCCTTGCCACCAGTAGATTTGCGAGCGGTCTGCTTGGTACGAGCCATTGATGTAGAGAGTCCTAAACGAACGGTAACCAAATAGTCCCCATTCTGCTTTTATATGCATTCTGAAATGCGGGGCGGAGCCTAATTGTCGCTAATCGTGACCCTGCACACCGCGCTCAAAAATCGTGTTTGAATTCAGAAAATTTCGTTTGGTCACTATATTTACTGGCTAATGAGAATACAGTATAGGGTGTTTGGTAGGATTATTTCAGTTGAATATTTGTAGGCACAGTTATCCACGAGCCCGTGAAATCATGTTTTCTGTAGAGCGCTCTGGCCTCCTACACAAATTGCTTGAAAATTGCCCTAACAGATACCGTAATGCTACCGTAACCCATGGAAAAGATGACCTATCATGTCATGGTGGCTCCGAAAATGGGAATTTTTGTGATCATCATGAATAGAAGACTGATAACCTGAAATTTTTTGTAAACGATTTTTTCGCCTTTGATGACCGTTCACGAAATTGATTAAGGCTTATTTAGGAAAAACAGATTAATTCTGACAGAGCTAACCATTTCGATATACAAAACATATCAGACTCAAAGACCGAGATATGATTATGGATTGAAAAAGTATTCGAAACAGAAATACCTCGCTAAGGTGCTGTGTACGGCGTTAACAAACCTAGCCGATATACGCTGCGCCTACTGGTGAGTAGTTAATGACGGCCTCTACAGGTATCGCTTCTCGGCCTTTTGGCTAAGATCAAAGTTTAGTTTCTGTTCTTATCGAATTAACCTTCGATAGAGATTCGAATGAGTCTCGTTAAGGTTATTTGATTTTTGAGACCGGACGAGGTTGTGGGCTTGCTCGCACCTCGTCACGGGTCGGCCCAGCGTTGCACTGCTGTTGGGATCGGCCCACCCCTCTGGGGGAATAAGAATGATTTAATTGGAAATGGAAATAGTGCCTTGATGATCAAAGGAAGAATATTATTGATGTAAAAAATGCAGGATTCCTCTCGAAACGTCAATATACATATGAATTAGGGCTCTGATCAAACCAGACAGAAGTACGCTGCATCAAGTAGAGTGGCTATGACTGTGTGTACTCAGGTTAACTCTGGCTCCTATGCATTTAATCGAGAAAATCTTTCGCCTTTTACTAAAGATTTCCGTGCACAGGTGCAATCATGAGTATTGAATAATTTTTGGAATCCCCTCGAAAGAGCGGGATACAAATACGGTCGGTTTATGGAATAGATAGGAGCTTTCCATAATTCCGTATTGAAATCCAGGAAAGTTGTCCTACTTGTTTTGAAATTCTCCTGAAAAAACTCCTATCGCCTTGACTTGGAATAAATGACAAATTTTCCTGCACAACTCCAATGTGTAGTCATTTTCTAGAGAAAGATCATTCATTATATGTACAACTCGTGTACGTAAAATAATTAGTCAAGAATTTCGCTTTTTAAGTATGTTTTTTTCCATCATACCCCACCATAAAAGGGTTTTTTTTTTACTAAACTATATGAAACACTCTATGTGTAAACAAACTTTATTCAATATGGTTTTTCCCCAGGTCCAGGGGCCCCCACAATCAACCACACCAGCGCCACCCCTCTCCCCTCGTCACCATTTTACTCATTCCATCACCAGGAAAAAAATTCTTCATCACCATTTCATGCGCTATACACTTTTCTTCTTTCGGACCACATCCAATGTATATGAAGACACACAGACAAACAAATCCGAGATTTTATTCCAATGTGATATCAGTTCTCCTACTGAGAAATCATGTATTCGTTTAGTTATGCGATTGTGGCCCTGAAGAGGGCCGTTGGGTTAGATTGAGTTTAACTCGTGTGCTTATGCTCGTTCACCACGGATACGGCGGGCCAGCTGGATGTCCTTGGGCATGATGGTGACACGTTTGGCATGAATAGCGCACAAGTTGGTGTCTTCGAACAGACCAACGAGGTACGCTTCAGAGGCCTCTTGAAGAGCCATCACAGCCGACGACTGGAAACGCAGATCAGTCTTGAAATCTTGAGCGATTTCACGAACAAGACGTTGGAACGGCAATTTGCGGATGAGCAGCTCGGTCGACTTCTGGTAACGACGGATCTCACGAAGGGCGACGGTTCCTGGGCGATAACGATGGGGCTTTCTTCACTCCTCCTGTGGCCGGTGCGGATTTGCGAGCGGCCTTGGTTGCCAACTGCTTTCGTGGGGCCTTGCCACCAGTAGATTTGCGAGCGGTCTGCTTGGTACGAGCCATTGATGTAGAGAGAGTCCTAAACGAACGGTAACCAAATAGCCCGCACTCTGCTTTTATATGCATC